CAATAAAGTTGACTTGACTTGTTTTTTAAAAAACGGTACACAATTTAAGTCAGGTCTTGCTGCAATAAGGTTCATGAAAGAGGGAAACAGAACAAAGGTAACGACGCTGGTGAATTAACCGAAAAATATGAGCATGGTTCTTTCTGTGTTAGAGAAGTCATGTGATATACTTACATACTTTTACTGATAAACAAACCTTATTTATGTTATTTATTGGATTATTGGACATTGAGGATAGTGTGGTGAACTATATTCTCTCACTCAGGTGTTTGCATGATGAAAATTATCATATCATATTTTATATAAGAATTTGCAATTAACTCATAAGTATTTCAAGTGTTTTTCCTCATCTGGATTTTGGTAGATGGACAGTCACGGGGCACTGTTTAGAGATATTTTAGTAAGAAAATCAAACTGAAAGGTTTGGGGGACAAAATTAGGATTTTGATAAGTCCCTTCATTCCCAGTGCAAATCAAACCGTTGTCTGTTGAGGAAGAATTGCGGCCCATCTGTCTCAGTCTTGAGAGGACAGAGTAGACACGGCGATATGAGGACATGTAGACCTGGGGGTGATCTGTTAAAGGCCTGATGCCAGTCTAACCTGTGTGACCTGTAGCTTGTTGTACTACTGCATTCTGTGTAATTCTGTGAAATATGACTGAAGCCTTAGGCTATTCAAATAACATATACTGTGAGACTAACAATTAGTTTTAGTCTAATTAGTGTTTTTGCAAAAAAAAAAAGGCAATGGAGCTAAAACAAGCTTTTTTATTTTTTTATTTTTAGATTTAAAACTGGGACCAGACTTTGAACTGAAGTGAACAGCTTCTTTTTGGCAACTATTCATTGTTAAAATGATATTTTAAGCAAAAATGAAAAAATACTCTCTGGTTACAGTTTCACAATTGTGAGGATTTGCTGCTTTTCTCTGTTTTATATAATAGCAAAGTAAATATATTTGGGTGCTGGTCTAGTCAGATAATCTAAATTTGAGGACGTTTAGCTTTAAGACATTTTGTACACAGATTGAATTTATATTTTGAATCCACTAGATGGGGCTCCATCCATAGTTGGTTTTCCAACCACTGATGGACCAATGAAGTTTGGTTGGAAGAACAGGCTACAAGGCCTTTAATAATATACTGTATGTTTGTGTCCTTTAATCTCAGACTTCATGGATCATTTACTTCTCATCCATAGGGTTCTCTTGAACGTTGTGCTTTAATTTGTTTTCAAGATTGGTGGATTTATGCTGGCTAATCACAATGATTATAATGTAATAACCTCTATGTCTAAAATGGGGAAATTGTCTTACTGCTTTCTCTTCCCCAGGGACCTAACCTGTTAGTCAAGGACACTTCAGAGTTTATGTATGCTGCCCTTCTGGGTTAAACCTGGAGTCTACTGGAGTTTAAGACTGTGATCATGAAACCATCATGCTGCTTTTAAAGATGCTGAATATCATTTGTAAAACTGCTGGTCAACAAGCGATTGATGCAAAAATAAAATCTGAGTTGAAAATGTAAGTGAATAGTTAAAGGGTGAGACAGACTGACCACAATAAAAACCTCTGACATCAAAGAAAATGTTTTTGCCTAATTCAGAGTTGCCCTGCTCATATACAATTGATCAGTTTGAGGTTTTGATTTCAGGGCGCAACCAGGATGGCTGGAGACCTGAACACCCTAGTGATGGGTACCCAGGTGTTTTCAAGATTTCTATAACACAGCAGGTAAACCCAGAAGCTTCGACCACCTGGGTGGTGTTACAGTGGGAGGGGACATACAGTAACAATATTGAGAGAATCCAATGAGGGTGCATACCTCCCCCCCCCTCCTCTCTCCAAAGGGCCCTGCCTCCCAGCGGACCACTGGGCCTGGCGCACCGGATTGAAAGTCTGTGTGCATGTGGGGCCCCTTAAAGAGGTGCGCCGACCAGACGGCACAGACTTTCTCCGTAGAAGAATCAGCGAGATGAAGAGCAGCGCCAACCCGGCACCATGCGCTCCAGGCTCCCACGGACCGCCTGCCTATTGCGACTCATTGCACTCTGCGTCCTTCTCTCGCACACTGCAGCTTATTTTGGGTCAGCCGATTTCTTTTTTTTTTTAACTTCTGCCCATCACACTAATTGATTGCCTTTGTTGTTTTAATCCTTGGAAGAGACCATCAGCCTTTACAGCTTTAGCCAGATTACGCACGCGTAATTGTGCACAAACTATTGCGGTAAATCGTTATTGTGTCGTTCCAAACCTCTACACTTTTGCAATCTGTCATGCTAATTTGTTACAAGAAACCGTACTCATCACCAGTGGTAATTTAAGAAGTATCTCACCGGAGTTAATCTTAGCCATTTGGCTATTTTTACGCATTATTTCTCGGATATGTTGAATTACCAATCTTTTTTCCCCCTGTTTACGGATTTCTATTGTTTACAGTACTGACATCAATCAGGGAAACTAAAAGAATACTTCGTTTAACATTTATTTACCATTTCCAGTAACTGTAACACACAAATTGACCCTTGTCACTTATTTTAATGGAAGTGATAGAATAATTATTGTAAGATATTTCACCGTAGTAGTGTGGACTTTAAAGTTAGATTTGTAGGCTATTTGTCTACGGATTACTTACAAATGCACCTCACCGTCATTTCTAACGTGTGTTTTCTTTCCCCTCCAAGGCTGACAGGTCGGGAACCCTTGGTGTTTTTACCGGGTCCTTTTTCCAGTGAACCCCCGACAGGCAAGGCCCACCTGAAGCAGTGCGAGCAGATGACTCTGACCAGGCGGCAGAAGAGACTCTGTCGCAGGGAACCTGGTTTGGCCGAGACTTTGCGGGAGTCGGTGCGCCTCAGCCTCCTGGAGTGTCGGTATCAGTTCAGGAATGAGCGCTGGAACTGCAGTCTGGACGGCCGAGGGAGCCTTCTGAAAAGAGGTTAGCCATTCATTCAGTCTATAGCTTACGTTTACAATTTCAGCACTTTAATTGACCCGTTATCCAAAGCGACAAGTGCTGGGTTCATGAGACCATCCACTTGCATGCAGTCTCTTTTATCTTAAATTGTCTTTATCCTTACTTACCTCAAGTGAGACAGGTGCACAGCTGCCCGATTTCTATCTCCATAGCTCACTAGGGTGCTCACTTAGGTGTTTTACATTAAGGCATCTGCCTGCATTTATCTTACAACCGAGTGATTATGTACAGAAAAAAGGAGAAAAAAAAGCAGTTGAGTTGTTACAAAAGTTCTGATTTAAACATGATTTGGGTATAACTTTAATAAGATATTCATAGTTTTTATTAATGGTGTGACCCATAAGCCAAATTAAATTAATTTTCATATAAAAGCATGTTAATTATCATATAAAATAGTATTCAATTAATATCAAACAATATATAATGTCAGTCTCCTTAAGAATAAAATGCAAACACAATAGTTTTTAGAGTATTAATTGTTGTTTGTATTGGTTGTTGCTGCCATGTGATCACAAACTTTAAAGTAAAACCAGAATTTATCTATAATTTCCTGAATGCGTCACTGATTTTTACAACATGGGAATTAACTTCAACTACTATTTACCCATGCTGCATCAGAAGAGATGGCTAGAGGGTTAACAAAGCGGCTGTGCTAGATGTTATTTAAAGTCACAGTAATTCTTACATACTTCTAGACTCTGTAATACCAGAGCATATGACCATGACACCAGGTGATAATTGTAAATCCCTTCTCTTTTATTTTGTGTTACTTAAGATGTTCTGTACAGCCCTTTCACTTGATACAATCCCAGAAAAAAGTCTTCTAAAAGTTGTCTACTTAAATACTTTTTTCCATGGCCGGATACAGCTGTTGATTAACTACACTTGGAAAAGATATGCCGATACCAAATCACCATATTGCATATAGCTCCCCCGCAGCACTGCTATCCACAGAGAATACTTAGGGATCCTCCAGGCTTTATGCATATGGATATCAGTGTGTGGGAGAACATGAACAGGTCAGCATGGAGGTAATGAGGGAGTAGAAAGCCAAGAAATGTGGTGCGGTGGAGAGCGCTCAAGCCCTGTGGTTATTTTTATCTCGGGAAAGCGCCCATTCCCAGAGGAAAAGGGTGGCATGATTACCCACTTTCATCTGGGAAAATCCTTCCTAGTCAAAATAATAATTAATTGGATCAAAATATACCCTGGCGATGGCTCTGGGTGAAGCAAATAACAGTGCATAACCAAAAGAAAAGGTCAGAAGAGGAATTATGACACAAGGAAACTTGCAAAAAAATGCTGAGGTTGTAGTAAACCATGACAACGTAGTTACTTCTTTGTAAACATTTTGGCTTAAAGGCTTACAAAGTGGCACAAAAGACATTTTGATAATTGTAAACTATGAATTAATCCCTTAAGCTATACATAGTTTGCACTCAGAACACATGTTTTTAATGCCACAAATAGATCTTGCAGTCACACCTCTGTAAATTCAACTCTTTAAATCTTTCCTAGATAAAAACAAACTGATGTACAATTTTTATTTTTTTTTAATTTTAAAGTTATTCCACCACATGTGATGTCTTTTACATCCATCCCAGCATTCAAGGAGACTGCCTTCCTGCTGGCAGTGTCCTCTGCGGCGCTGACCCATGCACTCGCCAAAGCGTGCAGCTCAGGCCGAATGGAGAGGTGCACGTGTGACGACTCCCCTGGTATCCAGCATCGAGAAGCGTGGCAATGGGGGGTGTGCGGTGACAACCTGAAATATAGCACCAAGTTTCTCAAGAAGTTCCTCGGCCAAAAGAGGGTCAGCAAGGACCTGAGGGCTCAGGTCGACGCCCACAACATCAACGTTGGAATTCGGGTGAGTGTGAACAAATAAACCCAAAGGAGTAGAGTAGAAGAATTACACCAAATGTGCCTCAGCGAAATAGCTTCCTCGTCCTGTTATGGTGAAGTTGCCTCCCAAGCCCAAGGCATCAAAAACATCACCTATACCTGAGCCACACTTAGGTCAATTAGCTTGGCTGCAATTTTACATGACAATTATACCCCTGACACACTCCCGTGCCATCAGAGGATACAGAATTGTAATCTCACCTGCATATTTTGCACATTGCCAGCCAGACAAATGCCCCCTTATTTGCTGCCGTCATTGGCCTTGGTTGATAATACAGAGGCAGAGGGTGAGGCAGTGTAGCAGGGAGACAAGGCTGTGGGATCGTTGGAGCCAGGTGTTCTCAGGCATGATAAAGCTTGCTGTGCGGGCCTACAGAAAATTAAAGGTCTCATGTCGGAGAGAACGATTATAACCGTGGCTTCTTTTTAATATACGAGCAAGCATTTTTTTCCACTTACTGGATCACTGTGCTCTTCATAAATCCACCTAATGTTCATAACCACCACTGTGTAGCTCTGAAATAGCAGGCCCTGGGGTCCTTATTCCTGAAGCTTACACCTAGATAGAGCCAGAGATGGTGGAAACATAACAGGAAGAGCTGACTATCTTATCTCATCTTTGCTGAGTTAAATGTTTTCCTCACTTTACACCAATGTGGCCGAGAAGACACCACGAGCCGTGTTAACAAAAACATGAAGTGGTCGGCGGCCCCCCCAGTCTCTCAGTGATGGTTCTCTGAAGCCCCTGAGGGGTTCATACCTGCAAAGGGAGGAACTGAGCATCACTTTTCAACCCAGAGGTACCCTCTGGCTCCCTCAGTGTGACCTGTCTCTGGCCCCCGCCAAGACAGCAGCTCTCAGGCTGAGTGATCACGCTCTCATTGCTGACCATCAAGCTCAGTGAACTATTAACCTAAATCAGGGGCACCATCACAAACCGCTGCTACATATTTTTTGGCACTTCTTGCACAGAAATTCTTATCAATGTTTTCCATGAGCAGGCATGTACAAAGAACAGGGTGGAGAGATTCCACTGTCTGCACTGTTTGTCACCTATGCCTCAGGCTTAAGAAAAGAGAGACAGGAGAGAAGCAGACAGAGCTAGTTTCAACACATTGAGCAAAAAAAAATGGCAAGAGCTGTCCAAGTGAGAAATGTGAGGTAAATGAAATACGACATGCTGAACAGTCCCCCTCAATCCATTATGTCAAATTTTTTGACTGAGGTGGGCTAAAGGCACACCATGCGCAGACCACCACCCCTAACCCCCTACCCACCCTGCAGGAAACTGTCTCAGTCTGTCCAGATAGACCTCCCAGATAAGAGGCCAGGTAATGAATCAAACTGAAGGAACTGACATCTCTCCCCTTTTTTCCTCCCTTGCTTTTTTCTCCCATCTCAGGCAGTGAAGAGTGGGCTGAAAACAACCTGCAAGTGTCACGGAGTCTCGGGCTCTTGTGCCGTACGGACTTGCTGGAAGCAGCTGTCTCCTTTCCATGACACAGGACGGCTGCTGAAGTATCGATATGACACCGCAGTGCGAGTGCTGAGCGTCACCAACACAGCCACCGGGGAGACAGAGCTTGCTGGCCCCCGTCGCCATGGTCAGAGCCTCCGCACTACTGACCTGGTCTACCTGGAAGACTCCCCTAGCTTCTGCAGACCTTCCCGCTACTCCCTGGGTACAGGTGGCCGGTCGTGTGCCAAAGACACCAGTTGTCAGAGTCTGTGCTGCGGACGTGGTTATAACACAGCCATGCGCCTTACCAGCCTGTCCTGCCACTGCCAGGTACGCTGGTGCTGCCACGTGGAGTGTCAGACGTGTGTGAGAGAGGAGGAGGTGTACACCTGCAAAAACGCATAACAAATGATGAAATAGAAGAAATATAGGCAGTATGCAAAGACTTGCATTAACACAAGACTGACATGGCTGAACTATAAGCTCCTATAGACAGTTCACTGAGGGATCTCACATGTCTTTGCAGACCTTCACGCTGACCTGCATGTTATTTGGGGAGGATTATACACTTGTAACATTATAATATTGCTGGTTATTTTGCTAATCGTCACCGATTTGATATGCTGCAGCTTACTGTAGGTGAGGATGTTTTCAAACTACTCTGCTTTTCTCTCGCTGGATGCACTGAAATGCCACTCTTCTGGGAGGGAAACAAGCTCTTAAAACAGGTACTGGACTGGACTGGATGTCACCAGCAGTACGACGTCAAACCCCCGTCTGCAGGGGAGCTCTGACAGTGACTTTGTTGTACTGTAATTGCATTGGCCCCTTCCACTTGACTATTTATTGGATCAGTCATTGTGTCAGTTGTACTGCTGCTTTATACTTATCCTTTTTGTAATGGAGTGTTGCCACTGAGGCTTAAATGGCCTTAAAAGGAATCCACCTGTCTGTCTTACTGTCTGCTGTGTAAGGGGTTCATTTCTGATTCAAAAGCACTTAGGTTGCTCTTGCTATGTATGATACCAAGTGTATAATTAATCATAGAACTTAGAAAAACTGTTAAGTCTAAATATATGTTTAAATAGAATCACTGGAAACTTTGAGGGGTGGCTGATGCCACTGTACATTGTAACTACATGCATTAACAGGGTTATTGCACAAAGAAACAAGCTGGGTTTCAGTTGCTCTTATGGAAATGTCTATGGAAATCTCTACATCTAGCCTAATGTGTGCTCAAAAGAACAAAGGGAAATACACAGGGTAATAGTAAGAGAAACACCAAACACTGTCTTTGAAAAACAAAGAATGAAAAACACTTAATTTCTACTTAAACATACCAGCCCTCCTCCTTGCTTTTCCTCTATTTATAGAAGCACACACTATGTTAAACTTTCTAGTTAAAACTGCCTGACTGAACCATTTGGTCTTCAAAGTATAATTTAGCCACATCTTTGTTCTAAATGCCTTTGAAGTGGGCTAATCATGCTCGTTATTTTCCCAAATTGCTAATCAAAGAAAATCACCATGTTTACTTTCTTATCCTTGTGCAGGTCAAAAGTGCACATCGGACCCAAAAGGTTTATTTTATTGGCCAGTTTATGTTTTGTTTGAGTGATTCTGAACTGTATATATAATATGAATATAACTCATGTCAGGGCTCCAGGCGTATGACAATGTGGAATTGTAATTTTCTACCTCACTTCATCTTTTGGCAAATATCAGTAAGATTTATGAGCTATGCAGAGTTATGTCCTATCCTTTGTGTTAAAGATCATATTTTAGATTTTTGTACAGTCCTTTTGAATTTGGTAATATATATCTCCATATTTCAAAAGTAAATGGTTTTTTTTTTAATCTTGCTGCAGTACATTCTTATTTAAAATAAATAAGATTAATAAATGGATATACATTTGTAAGAGCTACGTGTTTGTTGTGTCTTGTTCAGTTGCTGCAGGCGGTTGCCCTCAACCGTGCGCTCACACACATGCACACACACGCCACACGCAACAGGGAAGCGTGTGCAATACACCTGCCCGAAACTCTGCGCCCTGCATCCATCGAGCAAAACCACTTCCTGCTGATACTGCCCTGCCCTCCTTTTCATCTGAAAGGATTGTGGTCTCACTGCATCACCCTCAACTGCCCAGTAAAACGTGAGGGGTGGGTGGGTGGAGGACACGCTTACAGGTGTTGTGCCTCTAGCCAGTGCACCAACCACGATGACAATCATAATGACGATGATGACAAAGATGATGACTCAGAAGAATGCTGTTTTAAACAGCATTTGACCCCCGATTCACCATAAGAAAGTAACATTTGGCTGCCCCGGAATTGCGATGAGAGCAGTTTACGTGCTATTATCCGTGAATCATAACTTTCCACTCATTTGCAAGGCATCAGTGAAACTACAGTATACAGAGGGCTATTGTATGAGGTATTTACAGTGTGTGCTCTGGTGCTTTTGATGTTGCTCTCTAATTACTATGATTACACATTATTATTCCTTATTAGAACATCAACCAGAGACCCCAAGTATTGCAGTGAATTATAAGACAATTTTAAATTACTACGTTTTTATGACCTTAAGAATCCCTATAATGGATGTACAGTATATGGTATTGTTGGAGGAAATTATCTCCAAGGGTGATTAGTATCCTGCATGCTTTAGGGGACTTTTGGGGCCAATTTTATGTAGGCCTAAAATCTTGCAATGAAAAAACGTGATGAAACTATGAAATGGGCCATGGGTCAATTTTAACCATATGACGGGGGTAAATACGTAAGAGTGAAAGGTTTTTCTTGTGTAAAAGCAAAAATTGAAACAGCATAAAAAGCAAGATTCTGTAAACCTTCCTTGTTACTTTTAGATTCATAAAATGCAGTGATTTGCTAAAAAATCATTGCTAAAAACAAAAGTTTTTTTCTTCAGTACTGAAATTCTTTCAAGGTGAATGAAAACAACGTACCTCCAAATTAGGTGATATTTAATTTATCAGATTAGATGTTCTTTTGTGGGTTGAGAAAATTCTCCAACTTCTAAAGTTAAATACACCATTTAAAAACCCAGTGGATTGACTGAAAAATACAGGGGTGTTTTAGAGATACATGGTTTTCACTGGACAGTAACAATATGTTTTTGTCTACCTAATAACAGCATTATATTACCAATATAAACCTTTGCTTGTATCCTTGCTTCAATATTAATTTCCCCTCTTGGACAATAATGTTGAAAACTTCAGCTCAGTGATACATAAATGCGTCAGCCGTCTTTCTTTCTCAGAGGTCAAACAAGTTCATATGTTGAGACTACTGACTCACTATATTAACTCGTCATATTATAATATTGCGGATCAATATTTAACTTCATTCAACATGAATGCTGTATTTTAAAAAAGCCATGTTCTTCTCAGCAGAGCTGTGGGATAATGTACTAAAGAGAGGAGTGTGTCGATAGTAGGGACCGGGGTTGAGATATTGAGGGACATAAAGGAAAAAGATGAGGATGGAGGGATGAGAAGGGATAGTTTGTGGCCCCAGGAGGCCTATCCCCTGCTGCTGCTGTTGTTGTTTTATAATGAACTCCTAAAGCCTTCATTTCCCTCACTACCCTGAGCGGAGGGGGTGCAGCGATGGGGGCTGCTGAGTCCACAGCCGGATTCGCACGCACAAGCCCCGAGGGCGGCTGCTTTGAGTAGGGTGGGGGGTTGGACGGAGCAGGGGTGCAATATGCAAGCTCCTGTGTGTGTGTTTTAAACAGTACTGACAGGAGACAGGTGAGGGCAGAAAGGTTTTTGCATATGTGTGTGTGCATACTTGCAATGTGCACACCTGTGGTCACTTCAGTGGGAGTGATATGTGAGTGTGTGTTTGTAGTCAGGTTTTCCTGTGCGGGTGTGGGCTACAGTTGGCCTGCTGTATGCTGGAGCTGCTGGAGCTTCTCTCTGTCACCCTGAGACTCTGAATGACATAGATAATGTAGGGTGACGCTGGTGGTAACACTATCTTTTGTGTCTGCATCGGCCTGGTTCAGGTAAAGGTTACTATGGCGGGCTGGGCTGCGGCAGTGCACTGTGCTCTGATAGATGAAGATGAATTGGCACACCGGGGTAGGGGCATTTTTTGAGATATGTAATATAACTGTGTTGCTTAGCAAGAATATATTATCCAAAGCAACGTACATAGCTTTCAGGTTTATACATCACTCATTTGTGTAAGAACAGTAGTTGCTAACTGAAGCGTAGAGGGCTTGGTAGATACTTTGCTCAAGGACACAAAGCGAAGTCCCGTCCTGTAATCGGAACCTCTGAGCCCCAGGTCAAACATCTAAACCCTACAAGACTTCCGCCTCTGAAGAGAAGGTACTTAGATAGCATCTGTGCTGGGCCTAATACCCACACCCTGACATGGCACAGAGGGAAAATTAAATGATGAAGAGGATGAGGGGAGAAATGGATTTTGTGCAGAAAAGGAGGGAAGAGAGAGAGAGAGAGAGACAGAGTTGTGAATACGGCATGGGGTAGGAATTTGGAATGTGAAATGACTAATGCAATTGCTCAACCCACAACAAGAACATGCACTGCCTAGAGCTATGACAAGGCTGAGTGCATACCTTTATGGGGGGGCCTAACTCAGAGGCTGGGTGGACTGGGATGGTGGCTGAGCTCCTCACAACGGGTGATGAGACGCAAGGTTGAAGAGAAGGTGTATACATGTGTGATGGTCAATTGAGCATGCAGCAGGGTTGAAATTATGGATGTTCACCTGAGGACAGGTGGGAAAAAAGATTCGAATAGAATTTATTACAGTATGAATAGTAATAAACTTTTATACACAAAGTTTAAGGAGGCGTCCTCTTTCCTGTACAATAAATTACTTTTTATACATGTTCTCTACTTTCAGAGAGGTTTCCATCTTCTATGATATTCACTGAAATATTATTAGGTTTTCGACTGTTGATCGAACAAAAGTAAAAAGCAAGAAATTTGAATATGTCAGCTTTGGCTTTAATTAATTGTGATGGTCGTTGTGTTGGTTGGTCCGTCCCATAGACTGTAAAATTAATTAATTAAACAATAGGGTAGGGTTTTTTATAATATATATTCCTCCATTATATAGGACAGAGAGATGAGGCGGGACGACACGCAGAAAGGGTCACAGGTCAACTCGAACCGATGGCCACTGCAGCAAAGACTTGGTACGTGGGGCGCCAGCTCAACCAGGTGAGCTACCACAATAGGGTCAGGTTAAGTTTTCTGTAAGCCGAGAAGATCATTGTGGTCAACTCCAACACAGTCCTGACTCCTGGCCACAAAACCCTAAGCCTTAGCATAATTTAAACGGGTAAATTGTATACAAATTGACTTGCCGTACAGTCGTCATGAATGGGGCATTTGGGGCACCAGGCTGTAAATGTTTAATGTTTGTGGGAATTTTGACATAGGGGCTTATTATAGATTAACTGACTTCTGTACCTAGCCTCAACTGCAGTTTTTGGCCCTTCCATGTTGGCTTCATTTTACAGCCACTGAGGTTGCTGCCTGGTCGGTCCACCACTTTGGTCCCAAGAGAAATATCTCAACAACTATTTGATGGATTGCCATTTAATTTTGTACAGATATTCATGGTTCCTGGAGGATGAATACAAAATGTTAATGTGTCCTATACTTTAGTTTTTTACTTACAAAATTCCCATATTCCTGCACTGTGTTTAGTGCTAATTAGCAAATGTTAGCATGCAAACTGGGTAAACTAAGATGGTGAAAATGGTACGCATTGCACCTGCTAAACATCAGCATGTTAGCTTTGCCATTGTGGGAAGGTTAGCATGCGGATGTTAGCATTTAGCTCAAAGCATTGTTGTGCCTAAGTACTGCCTGACACATCTGCTGGCATGTAGACTTGTATTTAGATTACTCGCCACATTGACAACCCAAGCTAGCTAACAATAGTGTATAAAAAGGAACATAGGCTACACGTTTTCAAAAAGACAAAAAAAAAAGTAAAAGACAGTGATTAAAAAGGTGGATGCTTGAGGATGTGGACAACTGCTGGAAGCAAGACAAAGCATAGTAGTACAGGAGATAGGGTTTCACACAGCAAAGATGCCCTGCAAATGTCTACTGGTATCCCCCCCTTTGACCAGTCCACTGTGAACCCCGACTGGGAAACTCCTGGGGGAGGCTGTTCCCATGCTCCTCCACAGAAACACCTGTAGCCCTAACAGCAGGGTTTACACTGCAGCCGGTGTGATAGGACGTGATAAGACCTCATGCACATTCATAGCTGATTCCCCATGCTCAATATATGGTACTCCTCTGCCTTTCTCTCAGCCGCACAAACACACACACACCCACACAGTGACCTCCATTACAACCGAAACAAAACATTCCCAGCTCAACAATGTACGATGGAGGAAAACACAGATAAAGGGCAGAGCTATGTGTTCTCCCAAACAGCAACATCTCTAAAAAAGAAAAAGAAAAAAGTCTGGAATGTTGTCTGTGATTTTTTGTAGTATCTAGACAATTATGCTGTGTGTTGGCTTTATTTCCACGAGTGCTCTTACTTATTAAATCATCACTGTCATTAAAGGATTCAGATACACAACAATGTGCCTTCAAAATCTATTATCTTTTGAGCTCTGTGAACCGCACATTTTGGCTAACTGACACATACGACGAGAGTGTGGTTGAGAGTATGACTGTGGGTGGGAAGCTGTCAGGCAGGGGAAGCCCCATGTAGCGCTCCGTGCCATGTTGCTGTTTGTGTTCCCATCCTGGCTGAGCCGTCATCCAACCACAGGGGTGGACAGCATCTCTCATCCTGAGAAGTCTGGGTGTCACAGGTGGTATGGCCACAG